AACATTTAAAGGATTCTTAATTTGTAAGCTTGAACAACATAAGCTAGTATGTCGCGGTTATTTAAAACACATGAACAGTCACTGCGATATGCGTAGCCAAGATATTAGACTATCGAATAAAATGCAAATTTTTCCATTAAATCATACAGGAGTTCATTTAGTCTAATTGACTTCGACTTACATATGGAGTTGAATAATATTCCTATTTTAAATGGCACACCCTGTATTTAATAACAAACTGATAGACATTTAAATTATCTTTCATTCCATATAAGATTTCCCTATACCTAAATTCGATGGATCTTTAGTAAATAGCTGTTTTTTATTTTTAACATACAGATTTTATCATATTATTTTTTAATCATGGTAACCATAGAGCAAATATCACTCAAAATATGGTATTGAACGAAATAAACATTTTTATCACTTTGCAATGTTAACTAGTTTCAATGTAAACCAAAACTATAATTTTTTTAATAAAAAAAAACATTTAATGACGAGAAAATTTGAATTATTTGAAAACTAGACACAAATAAAAAAGAGTAATAAACAAATTGAAAACAAAACAAAAAATGAATTATAAAAAATGTTCGAAGTGACGCCCATCTTGTTCTAAACACAACTGAACTCGTTTTTTAAAGGATTGTTTCACTTTGAGAAGAATTTCTCCAATTACTCTTATTCTAGCTTCCATATCTTCCGGAGTAGTTTGTGGGGTGTTATAAACTATACTTTGTATGTGTTCCCATAAAAAAATCCAACGACGTCAAGTCTGGAGATCTTGGAGGCTAATTATGTGGACCACCTCTTCTAATCCATTTATTAACAAAACGCCGGTTTAAGTATCGCCGTACTCGAAGTTGAAAATGTGCGGGGGCTCCATCCAACTGCATCCACATTTTATGCCTAGTATTTAAAGGTACATTATCAAGGAGCCCAGATACTTTTCTCCCCAAAAACTTTAGAAATTTTCTGCCTTTAAGATGACTGGTAAAAAAATAAGGACCAATAACATGTAAACCTAATATTCCTCCCCAGACATTCAAGGACCATCTAGGGTGATGATCGAGAGTACGAAAGACGTGAGGATTTTCATCACTATAATTATGAAAGTTATGGCGATTAACGAGTCCATTATCATGAAACATCTGATTCTACTTTATTCATAACCCATAAACAAAAATCGATTCTTTGTTGAAAGTCTCTTTGATACAGTTCTTGGTGCAGCTGTATCTTATAAGGATAAAATTAATGTTTTTTATTTTTTGTCCAATACTTCTACTTATTCCAGTTTCTCTACTAATAGCCCGATGACTTGTGTGTTGTGTGTGGGTTTTTCTATTAGTGAGCCAATAACCCAAAATTCATTATTATGATCTTCTAGAATAGGTTGAGGCTGAATAATTTTTTTATAATCTAGTTTCCGCTAACTTTAAACTGTTGTAGTAATCTTTCAAAAGCACGTCTGTCAGGTTTCTTTCGATCTGTGAATTTTTGGCTGTAAACTCTAGAAGCCAATAAACAGTTTTCATGACACTCACCAAGAACACGCACCATATCAATTTTCTCTGCTTTAGAATAAGTTTTCATGTCTCAAATTCGATTTTTCGTACATTTGATATCTAACTTCAATGGTCACTTTGACTGGAAAGAGTATTTACAAAAATTAGTTATGTTAAACATAAAAACATATTTACTAAAAAAAAACTGTTGAATTTAGGTATAGGGGTTGAATTTAGGTATAGGGAAATCTTATATGGAATGAAAGATAATTAAATCGTCCCATGCAGAAAGGGCACATGTCCAAAAAGTTAACTTTTCAGGAATCAAGAAAAACTAAATATCTTCGAGCAGTTTTTTTTATTAATTTTGAAAATTTTAAGGGTAATTATATATATAAAAAGAAAGTTTATCCATGCAAACTTATTAAGTTTAGGTGAGTTGGTTATCATTGAGAATTTTTTGAAAAAATTGGACATGTGCCTTTTTTGCTAAAAACTAAAAAAAAAAACTTATATTTAGCCATTTTTATTAAAAAAAAAATTTTTAATACAAAATACTAGTCTATGACTGTTTCCCAGCGCCACTTTAGGAGCAGCACTGTTAATTAGAACCTAACAGTGAATGGTCGAGTGGAGAATCCTACCAAGGCATGTTGGCCACTGTAAGATTAAGTCATAGAAATTTCTATGTTCTTCTACAAACTGTACACACTTCTTTATGTCAGCGATCTTTTTCATTTTTATTGGTACTTGACCTGTGGGATATGCAAGATTACTTGGAAAATTTATATCAGTTAATTGAGTGTAGTAAAATACTTCACCAACTGGTGTAGTAGGTAGCTGTATATTTTGCATAAAATCGAAAGCAAGAGCTAACTTTGTGTCATCATTTTGTGAACTGGTATGTTCCTTCAGTTTTGCATAAAATTTGTGGGCTCTACGTTTATGCACAAGTAATTAAGCGACAGCTACTGTCTTTGCATGTTTGTTTAAGTTTCGATCTTTTATTTTCAAGTTCACACTGAGAGCAGACATCTACTTGAGGACGTCCAAAATTAAAGTTATAGTTTTTTCCCTCTTTTCTACGTTTTCTTCCATTATTATAGCACCTGCTCAAACACTAATATAACGCAAATAACTACTAATAAACAAACGTTATAACCTTACTTTTGAAATAACGTTTCATTTCATTTTTGCAGAAAGGTAATACGTCCTAGGACGCGTGCCCATTCTGCATAACACTCTGTTTGATTCATGTGATTTCATAGAGACTACTGATGGGACCTGTGCCATTTTTACATATAAGATGTGTTTATGTATGGTAACTTCAAATATGACAAAATGTCAATTTTGATAAAAGTGGACATATGTCCTTTCTGCGTTCAATTTAAATGTCTATCAGTTTGTTATTAAATACAGGATGTGCCATTTAAAATAAGAATATTATTCAACTACATATGTAAGTTGAATTCAATTAAACTAAATGATGTAATGGAAAAATTTGCATTTTATTCTATTCGCTCCGTGCGAAGTCATGGAAAGGGAAGCAAAAGCGATACTAGCGCTAGCTGCGGATAATTCGTGCATTTTAGGGGGATATTTTGTAATTTTGGCATATCAAATACACGTATACATTTTACTTTTTTTCAAAAAAGTAGGTAAAAACAACACAATAAGCAACCGGAGTTGCTGTGTTGAAAATTGTACAAATACTAGCAAAAAAAAAAACAGTGAAACTTATATAACAAATTTCACTAACAAAGTGGTAATTAAATCAAAGAAATAAATGGATAGGTGTACAATAAGAAGAAAAATTACCTTTATTTTTGTGATAATAACAGTAATGCTGGAAGTAGTAGACATCAGAAACTAGAAAGTTTTTAAATAAACAATAAATTATCATTTTACGATGTTCTTTAATATCCCTTTATTCTTAAATGTTCATTCAGCAAGGACTAGATTTCAAGATTTCTGCCCTTGATTATAATATTTGGCTGGTATGCAATTTTGTGACTTACTGATCGGAAACCAGTTTTAATCATTCATTCTATGTTTTCTTTAGAACAAAAATGAAAATATAAGTAGCGATCCTTTTTATACATTTTAACTTCACGCTATTATAAATGGTTTCTTCAATGACAACTTATTAGACTTAGGCAACTTCTCATACATTTTCCAGTAAATACTGTTGCCTGCCTATATTTTATTATTGATTTTTAATGATTATACATAATTTTCTTCAATTTAAGCGTGAAAAATATATAATAATAATAAATTAATGTTTTAATTGTTTTATTAATCCATATACTTTTATTAAAACTAACATATATACTTTTTATTTACGAATTCTATTAAAAATTGTATTTGTCAGTATAGGCAGAAATACTCCTTTAATACCAAAACAAATTGGCGCTGCTGTCGCGCACGGAGCGAATAGTCTAATATCTTGGCTATGCATATTGCAGGTGACTGTTGATGTGTTTTAAAAAACCGCGACATACTAGATTATGTTGTTCAAGCTTACAAATTAAGAATCCTTTAAATGTTTCAAAAACGAAAAAAGATAGGTATAGGAAACATTACAGAAACTTTATTTACTTTATTTTTTCCAGGAAATCAAAAGACACCATCAAATATAGGGTGTTTCCTTAAAAAAAACAACTTTGATATAAATTCCTATTTTTGGGTCATCCTGTGTTAATGTTAATGTTAGTTAATGTTAATGTTAGTGTTAATGGCCCAAGTATATCCCTATTAAGAAAAAAAATTCAAATTTTAAGTTGTTTTCCCTACAGAGACCGACGCGTATAGGATGCGCCACCCTGTATATTTGAGCCGTTTATTTTGAAAGTGGCCTTAGTCCATTTATACTTAAATTGAGATATCTGAGGGTTTGTGTAAATTTTGTTTAACTGCATTAGTTAAATGTACTGATTATTCAACTAATGTAATTGTCCAAAAACTGAGGTTAACTTGTTAAATACTAATTAATTAAAATTACCTTCATCATTGCCTTCGGACATTATCGATAATCAATATCTCAATTTAAGTATAAATGGACTTAGGCCACTTTCAAAATAAAAGGCTCATTTATACTTTTAAAGAGATTTATTGTTGTTCACACGATGCCAGTGCTAGACTATTTAAATAACAAGCTCTAAGAGCCTTTAAAAAATGTAAGAGTGGTCGTTAAATTATGGATGAACCATGTATTATATTATCTCGCACTCTATCTTTTAGAGCCGCCCTATATAATTTTACTTGCTGTAAGTCCCAAATACATTCGATAGATCTTGCACATGATGTGGAACACATGGATTGATGTCTCTTTATAAATGGTGGTTTGTTTGATGACTTGCTGATTGAGTTTTAATATATGGTTTTATTTTTGACAGGCAAAAGAATGCACAAAAAAAATGTTCTCAAATTTTCGATTCTAGTAATGCAAATGTTTTTCGATTTTTTTTTAACATAACGATCGCCAATTTTGTATTACAGGAAGGTTTGATACAGCAAGTTCCTTGCAAAGTTTTTATCGGAAGGTGTACCGAAGATTTGACGTCTGACGATTTGCGAGATTATTTCGGCAAGTTCGGCGAAGTCACTGACGTGTTCATTCCCAAACCGTTCAGGGCTTTCAGTTTCGTGACGTTTTTGGATCCCGAAGTGGCGCAATCGTTGTGCGGAGAGGATCACATCATAAAAGGTTTAAAAGACAAAATATACTGAGTAAAATGAATTAGGGATCAGTATCAAAAATTTAGCTGTGGTAGAATCATGATTGTTTTTATTTCAAATTAAAATATAATATTACCAGTTCTTTAATAATTTTTTTGCCATTGATTCTATTACAATTGATTTCATTTTTGCGAATAGATTATTTTTGCAATTGGTTCTATTACAATAAATTCCTTTTTACAATCAATTCCTTTTTACAATCAGTTTCTTTTTACAATGCACCTTCTTGTAATTAAACGATTTTTACAATTGATTCTGCTTTTAATTGATTCTATTTTTACAATCTGTTACTTTACAATCGATTCTTTTCATAATTTTTTTATTATTATAATTGAGATCTTTTTAGTCCATTTTTTGCAATCAATTCTATTTTAACATTGTTTATTTTTTTACAACAGATTATTATTCTAATATCTTTTTATAATGAATTCCTTTTTACGATCAAATCTTTTTTTTACCATTCCTTTTTTACAACAGATTTTTGTCATTGATACTTACAATTCATTTTTTTGCGATCATTTCTATTTTTAAAAGTGATTCTTTACAACCGATTCTTTTTATAATTTGTTTTTGTTGATTCTGTTGTTTTATTACAATCGATTATATTTATACAATAGATTCTTTTTTTATAATCGATGTCTTTATACAATAGATTCTTTTTTTTATAATCGATTTCTTTAACAATCCATTTCGATTATATTTTGTCATTGATTCAGGTCTAAATCGATTCCTTTTTAAATTCAATTCTGTTTTTACAATCGATTTTTTTCACAGTTGATTCTATTACAATCTTACAGTTCTTTTTTGTTCGATTTTTTGTCATTGATTCTATTTCATTATTTTAATCGATTTTACAATCGTTTTTGCAATGGATTTATTTCCATATTTGATTTCTTTTATAACTGATTTATTGTCATTGGTTCCGTTACAATAGATTCTATTTTTACAATCCATGCTGTTTTTAATCAATTTTATTTTTAGTCTATACCTATAATACAATCGACTTTTGTGCAATTACAATTTTACAATTATTTTTATAATATATTTTTTGTCATTGAGTCGGTTCTATTATAATAATCGATAAATTTTTACAATCGATTCTATTATCGATTATTTTTGTAATCGATTCCGTTTTTACAATCTATTATATTTTATTCAATCGTTTTTATCAATTATTCTTTTTTTGTCATTGAATCGATTCCTTTTTTACGATTGATTTTTTTTATATTCATTTTCTTTTACAATCCATTTCGATTTTATTTTGCCATTGATTCAAGTCTAATGGATTCCCTTCTCTAATCAATTTTATTTTTACAATCGATTTTTAATCGTTTTTTGTCATTAATTCTATTCCATTATAATCGATTCCATTTACAATCTATTTTCACAATTGATTCCTTTTATAACCGATTTATTGTCATTTGTTATGTTACAATAGAGTTTAATTTTACAATCGATTTTTTTGCAATTGCAATTTTACAATCCTATTTATAATCGATATTTTGTCTTTGAGTCAGTTCCATTCTTATAATCGATTCATTTTTACTGTAAATTCTTATTTTTCAATCGATTTTTTTCCGCCATTGATATTATTCCATTAATACAGTATTTTTTAGGATTCCTTTTCTACAGTCGATAATATTTATAAAATCGAATCTTTTTTATAATCATTTCTATTTTTAAAGTCGTTTTTTTTTACAATCGATTTTATTTTTATAATAGATTTTTTTGTCATTAATTATATTCTATTTATGCAATGGATTCCTTTTTTACAATCTTATTATATTTATACAATCATTTTTTAATAATCATTCTTTTTTTTGTCATTGGTTCTATTATTACAATCGATTCCTTTATTACGATTGATTTTTTTATAATCGATTTCTTTTTCAATTCATATTTTTGCAATCGATTTCTTTTTTACAATCTATTTGCAATAGATTCCAGTTTTACAATGGATTCTATGTTTTTAATCGGTTTTATTTTTACAGTCTATTCCTATTTTACAATTGATTCTTATTTTACAATCGATTTGTTATTCGCCATTGATTCTATTATTACAATCGAGTATTTTTTTTGTTAATCAATTCTAATTTTACAGTCGTTTCTCTTTGTACAATCGATTTAATTTTTATAATCGATTTCTTTTACAATCAATTTCGATTTTATTTTGCCATTGATTCAGGTCTAATGAATTCCTTTTTAAAATCGATTCTATTTTTACAATCGATTTTATTTTCACAATATTTCTTTTACAGCCGACTTATTGTCAATGGCTCTTTACAATAGATTCTAATTTTACAATCGATTCTATGTTTTTAATCTATTTTATTTTCATTCGATTCCTATTTAACAATCGATTTTTTTTGGCAATTGCAATTACAATTTTACAATTATTTTTATAATAGATTTTTTTGTCATTGAGTCGGTTCCATTATAATAATCGATTAATTTTTACAATCGATTCTATTTTTACGATGATTCCTGTTTACAATCCATTCTATTATCGATTATTTTTATAATCGTTTCCTTTTTTTACAATCTATTATTTTATACAATCGTTTTTATCAATCATTCTTTTTTTGTCATTGTATCTAGTATAATCGATTCCTTTTTTTACGATTGTTTTTTTTTTTATAATCGATTTCTTTTACAATTCATTTCGATTTTATTTTGCCATTGATTCAAGTCTAATGGATTCCTTTTTCTAATCAATTCTATTTTAACAATCGATTTTTAATCGTTTTTTTTTTGTCATTGATTCTATTCCATTATAAGATTCCATTTACAATCAATTTTTTGCAATCTATTTTATTTTCACAATTGATTTCTTTTTTAGCCGATTTATTGTCATTTGTTATGTTACAATAGATTTTAAATTTACAATCGATTATCATTTCTATTTTTAAAGTCGTTTCTCTTTTTACAATCGATTTTATTTCTATAATAGATTTTTTGTCATTGATTCTATTATATTTTTACAATGGATTCCTTTTTTACAATCTTATTATATTTATACAATCGTTTTTTAATAATAATTCTTTTTTTTTGTCATTTATTCTATTATTACAATCGATTCTATTTTTATAATCGATATCTTTTGCAATCCATTTCGATTTTATTTTGCCATTGATTCAGGTCTAATGGCTTCCTTTTTAAAATCTATTCTACTTTTATAGTCGATTTTATTTTCACAATTTTTTTTTTTTTTATAGCTGACTTATTGTCATTGGTTCTTTACAATAGATTCTTATTTTAAAATCGATTCTATGTTTTTAATCGATTTTATTTTCAGTCGATTCCTATTTTACAATTGATTTTTTTGCAATTGCAATTACAATTCTTTTTATAATCAATTTTTTATCATTGAGTCGGATTGATTCTTATAATCGATTCATTTTTACAGTCAGTTCCTATTTTACAATCGATTTTTTTTTTTCATTATTAATTTTATTCTATTAATACAGTATTTTTTATGATTGCTTTTTACAGTTGATTATAATTATAAAATCGATTTTTTGTAATCAATTCTATTTTTATAATGGATTTTTTGTTATCTATTCTATTATGACAATAGATTTCTTTTTTATAATCTTATTAATCATTTTTTAATCTTTTTATTTTTGTCATTGATTCTATTCCTTTTTTACGATCGCTTTTTTTTTAATCTATTCCTTTTTCAATTTATATTTTTGCAATCAATTTTGTTTTTACAATCCTTTTTTTTTATAATCGAATTCTTTTATAATAGATTTTTGTTGTCATTGATTCTGTTTTTTATCGCTTTTATTTTTAGAGTATATTCCTATTTTACAATCGATTTTTTCGCCATTAATTGTATTCTATTACAATCGAGTATGTTTTATGATTTCTTTTTTTTTTTCAATCCATTCTAATTTTACAAACTTTTCTGTTTTTGCAATCTTCTTTTTTACAATATATTTTTTTTTAAGATCAAACCTTAGATTTTCTGTATCTCTTCCATGCCAGAGACCAGCAAACAATGTAAATTTTCTTGAGATGATAAGTTTACTTAATTCATCGACATAAATTAGGAAAACAATTGGTTCTAAAACTGATCCCTGTGGAATATCAGGCAGTTATTTCAAAATCTATCACTGCTTTTTTCCAGATTCGATTCAAAGCTAAAATTTAAAACGATTCTTAAATCATTTTGCGCTTTATAAGTTTTCCGAATTGATTAATAGGAAAATTTATTGATGAAGATAGTTAAATTTCTTAAAAATCCCCAAATAAATTTTTAAAAATTGCCCGCGCGTTATTTTGAAAAATATTTTCGAGTCTCCAAAGCAAAAACAAATTTATTGAAAAATTGTCCCTTACTGGGACAGATTTTTTTCAATTTGATTTTACTTTGGGGGTTATAAAATAGTTTTCAGTGGTAATTCTGGGATTTCCAAGGAATTTTTCTACCTTTATTTCCGTATCAATAACTGAGTTTCAAAACGATTTTTCATTAAGTAAATTATTTTTATTCTTTAGGAGTTTCTGTGCACGTTTCGAATGCTGCTCCCAAATCTGACACGAGAGGCGGCGGCTATAGAGGCGACAGAGGGGGTAACGGTCCTCCGAGTCGCGGCGGGGGTAGCGGCCCTGGTGGACCTGACGGTTCCGGCATGTACAATCAGAGATACAATGGGGCCGGACCGAATCAAGGCAGTTGGGGCAACCAAGGTGGTCCGCGCGGCAACATCGACATGCCGAATTTGCAAGCATTGGGTAAGTATTGTTAATTTCAATTTGTATAATGTTGATTATTAAAAAAAAATCTACAACTTTATAACGACATGTTTTAAACAATTTATTAACGTAAAATGTATTGCAATAATTGCGTTCAATTTCTTTTTAAATCAAGAATAACTATGAAAATCAAACATCGCTCACTTTGTATATATTGAAATTGAGTTGCCATATCGCAGCCCCTCTTCAAAAGTGACAACTCAAAAAGCATACATATATCAGCAAATCTAATAAAAACCTTATACTTTTTATTTGTAAAAGTTCCACAAGTTTGTTTTTACAATGAAGATAGCTAATGTCGTTTTTAAAGTTTTTCGAATTGTCCCTTCTTCACACATCAAAATGTGATATTTATTTATTCAACTTAAAAAATTTATACAAAAGATGAAATAAAAAAAAAATATCGCAAAAGAAATAATCACATTTGTAACTGAACTCGAGCTTGCGCTATGTGAACCCTCCAGGCCAAGACACAGACATTTTAATTACATAGAAAACAAAACAGAAATTAAAAAAATTAACATTAAATACATATATAAGAACGAATAATTACAAGATATACAGGGTGTCCGGGAAAATGTGAGAGGTCTCTCAGATTCAGAAAGAATATTAAAAAATAGGATAAGTTCCCATAAATTTTTTTCCTAGCGGCCCTCCCTACGAAGATATTTCTTGAATAACTTTCAAACTACGTAATATAATTAAATGAAAATTTAATATGATAAACAGTAGTAAGAACCTCTTAAAATACTGCCCTTAAAAAATAATTAGATTGTTTAGTTTACCAGGGGCGGACTAGGTTGTACGTTTTATTGCTTACATTTTTAACACTCTGTATGATGAGTTAAAAAAAAATAAATTTCGATACCTTGAACATTAAGCTAAAGAAAAGGTACTATTCTTCATTGTCTATAAAATGAACCGTTTTCGAGAAAAAAAAAATAAAAGAATTAATGTTTTATTTGTATTAAAAAGAAACCATGATTTCCAATTTTTTTTTTTGTCTGCAGCAAAGTGTGATAAGAAAGTCATTGAAATAGAACTGTTATCAGTATTAGAAAAATGTTTTTACAAACGTTACTATGGTACCTACGAAATAAATAAATGAATAATTGCATTGACGTGTGCATTTTAAATCTTGTTGACACGTTGATCTTTTAGTACTCCGATATTAACTTATTGAATTTTGGTAAATTTAATTCGATAATGGAATACACATTTAGTGAGTATGCAAATATGCATCTTGTGCACGGTCTTGCATCTACAATGCTTATGAATCAAGAAGGTTGTATGAAGAAAGATATCCTAATCACAATATTCCAAATGAGAAAACATTTCAGTGACTTGACCAACGTCTAAAAGAGACTGGTGGGCGATTCCCAGTTAATAAGGTAACATTGACTTTCTTTAATAATTTTTAGGAAGTTTTTGGAAAACAAGTACTGATTCTGGTGTAACAAGAACAGTACGTACGGTGCAATTGGAGGAAAATATTTTGGATACTCCTTCAATAAGCACTCGAAGATTAGCCGCGCAGCTTCATGTGTCAAAAACGACAATTGCTGGAGTACTTAAAGAACAGTTATTATATACTTATCATCTGCAAAAGTGCATCAACTACTTCTTGAAGATTTTTCCTCGATGAATTCAGTTCGCAAACTGGCTGTTAGATCAGCAACGAACAAACGGAAACTTCATTATCACTATTATTTTTACCAATGAAGCAGGGTTTACCAAAAATGGTATTATGAATTTACATAACTCGCATGTATGGGCTGATGAAAACCCTCACGCCACTGTTGTTCATCATTATCAACATCAGCTTCATTCAATTAATGTTTGGGCAGGAATAATCGGCAATTTTTTGATTGGACCATGCATGTTGCCGCCACGATTGAATGGTGAACTTTATTTACAGTTCCTTCAGATCGCTTTTCTGGATTCAATAGAGCATTTGCCACTTGAAACCCACCGAATCATGTATTTTATGCATGATGGAGCCCCACCTCACTTTAGCGTCGTTGTACGGGACCACCTGAACCGTTGGATAGGCAGAGGAGGTCCAATTGCATGGCCTCCAAGGTCTCTCCCGACCTAACACCAACGGATTTTTACCTATGGGGTCATCTCAATACCTTGGTGTATTCTTCTCTGGGTGATACTAGGGAGGAACTTTTACAGAGAATCACATTTCATTGTGATAATGAACAATGCTGGGTTGTTGTGACGAGTACAGCAGTCCTCTATTCGTCGCGCCCGCGAGTGTATCAGAGTTCACGGAGTACATGCTGAACCCACTTATAAAGGTTTTAATTAATTATTTCTAATTAGCGTATTTATGTTCAATCCTTACAAGCTTTAGTGAGTTCAGGATGAAAACATAATACTCCAAGTTGTATTTTAAAATTTATCAATTTGAAATTAGCTAATTCTGGGAGTTTAATTTTTTAATAAAAATAAAACTACCTAATTTATTTTTTTTTTTTTTTTTTTTTTTCGAAAACGTCAGACTGTCAATTTCGAGCATCGAGTATTAATCAAAGATCATTTTTAAGTGATTTTCTTGAATTAAGAGGTGCCATAGTTGAATGTAATAAGTGATAAATTTAATCTTGATGTTCCTTTTTAGTGCATTTCGATACGCACGTGTGGGCGCCACAGTGTCAAATATGTCAAATATCACCTCGCTATGTTTTGATTTTGTTGATCGGCTTTGTTCTTTCAGTTTAATATATAGTTTAATGGATCTGACAGATTTATTACCCTGGCTTGATCACGAATCTACTATATGTTATCAGGTAAACAAATTTTTGTGTGGTTACTAATTGTAGTATAATGTAGAGAACATCGGCAGTCAAGAGCGGGAAGTGCGGGGAACTGTGGCGGTAGCAAGGTACCGCCGGCACTTCGCCAGACAGAACGATTTGAGTCGCCTTGGGTGTCTAGTGTGGTCAGCTGTGGCTGTTGGCGGTTGATTCTCCCGCATTGTGTTCTATCGGTAATCACTTGGTAAATAAATAATTATTTGACTTATTAATATAATAAAAGTACCACGGAAATACCTGCGGGTTGACTGTACCTGTGAGTATTTCCAAGATTATTTAATTCAATAAATTTATCAGTTGATTGATTGTTAAGATTGTTATTGGCCATATTGGCGAATGTAATTTTTGTATTAATTCGTTAAATTTATCAGTTGATTGATTTTTTGAGATTGTTATTGGCCATATTGGCGAATGTCCTTTTTTGTGTTAATTCATTTGTCAGTTGACTAATAATTGTTTGAGATTGTTATTGGCGATATTGGTGGTATTCATTTAAAACACCGTCATCCTGTAGAGGCAACTAATTGTATGTAGCTGACAGAAATAATGTTATTTTCGTGTTTTGAAAAAAATACAAATTAGCCACTATGGAGCTTATTGTTTTAAAAAGAAACTTACTAACCATCTAGTTCTAGAATAATTATATTATTTATTGATTTTGATAGTTATTTTTGGAATAAATTTATAATTCTACTGTCTGGTAGTTATCGGAGAGAAATGTAGAATGGTAAAACTTCCAATTGTAATTTAGAGCTCAGATAACGTTAAAGTGTACGCAACGTAACTTTTAAAAATAGTAAAATACCATTTAGAATTGAATGCAATATAGGTTCCAAAATTTGTTTTTATGATGTGGACAATTTAGCAGTGGTCTACTACGCTATTTTGAACAGATATTGTCTTTATTTGCAGTCGTTTAATTTTGAATTTTGGTAGAAATTCGATGAGAAAAAAATGGTTTTCTTCATTAAAAGGAATTTATATTATCTATCAATAACCAACCGGCTGGGAGAAGCTTAGAAAAACAAAACGCAGAGAAACTTAAACATTTATTGTTAAATTTGTTTAAGTTTGGAAATAACTATTCAACAATAAATACCATTGAGTTAAAAATAAAGCTATCTAGTGAACAAGTCGTTAATTATCACACGTACCGTTTGTCGGCAACGGGAAGAGAAAATGTTTGGGAAATTATATCTGAACTTGCTTAAAAATAAATATTCGCATTGATTGTGTTGATCCGTAGTTTAAAATAACAAATAACCACAGATGGTTTTAAACACGCTTTATTTATTGTCAATGCTTCTACGAAATATGTAATTCTATACCCTTAAAAAAAACGTTAACAAGAGAAGAAATTACTAAAACATTAGAGAATTATATAACCATGTTTGGTACGCCGCGCCAGAACGTATTATAGTTAACCGTGGAACAAATTTACCGACAAAAAAATCCTTATTCGTAAATATAAATATTAAGCGTTATTAAATTATAGCAGGGGCGCTACTGGGCAAGTTGAAAGGTATATGTAACAATAATTAATTTATTAACTTTTTGAAGTACGAAATTTGTCAGAATGGACGAGTGCTCTTTCCAAATTACAATTAACTGTTAATTCTACCATTCAGAAAGTCAAGTACAGGTCAGGTTAATCCCTGAGGAGTACTTCTGAACTTCTCTACTGTTTTTATTTAGTAACAAAGTTAAGTACAGGTCAGTTAAATATCTGAGGAGTACCTCTAAACTTCCATAAATGTGGTCTGGTAAATGGTATGAGAAATCTGAGGATTCACAATTACAGAAGAAATCGGTTGTACTGTCCTGGATGGGCGGTGTTAGCAAGTAATTCTTTTGTTTTTAGTTTTTCCTTTATGTTTTGTGGCCTAAATGATATATTAACTTCCCGACCCTATTAGATGACTTGTTTTTTAACCACGCGATGGCAGGTGGTAAGCTTTTCGTGACTAGTAGAGTGAAAAATGCTGAACGGATATTGTTGAAATTCGAGGAGCATAGCTCTTATTTTGAATGATTAAAAAAAATTATATAAATTGAAAATGTTGGACGGATATTGTTGAAATCCGAGGAGCACAGCTTTAATTTTGAAATTATTTTAAACATTAATTGAAAAATGTCGGACGGATATTGTTGATATCCGAAGAGCAGATTGTGTTTGGATCATTTTAAAATCTTGAATAAAGTGTTAGAAATAATAAGACATGAGGCGTTGTGTCACTTATTTGAAAATGCAAGGTTTTGTCTCATCTCAGAAAGTGACGAGCGGGCGCAGCTTGTTGAATTAGAGAGGATGAGCAGGAAACTTTTTTGAAATAATTGGTGTGGGAAAAATTTGGCGGCTGATCTTGTAATTTTGTTATTTTTATTTGATATGTCTTTTCTTTTTTAATATTTTTATAAATTAAAATAATACAAATTAATAACCGGTCATTACATAAAAAAAGAGAATATTTCGAGAGCGAAATATAGATCAGTATGGCCGTGTTAGCAGGTAAACAAATTTTTGTATGATTACTAATAATTGTAGTATAATCTAGAGAACATCGGCAGTCAAGAGCGGGGAACTGTTACAGTACTTCTCCAGGCAGAACGATTTGAGTTTGAGTGTAACTAAATAATTATTTGACTTAATAATTAATATAATCTAACATATAATTTAAATTTTTTTTGTATGGTAATATTTTTATAATTACCAGATAGCGCTCGTGCAACGTGAAGTTAATCCTTTATTTAAATTATTTACAGAAAATATTTGATTTTATTGATAAAATAGTAATAGGTTTTTGTATTATAATGGACTTATATAAATTTCTCTGGTTCTGTGATTTTTTCATATAATGTAATTTGACAACGCTGCTTCAAATGATAAAAATGACATGGCACAGTATATAACCTCGAAAAAATATTAATTAATATTATACAGAGTGAACTGTGTCAAATTTCCATACACTCTAGATTTAAAAAGAAATTGAACGGAATATAAGAAATTAATTTTTGTTTAGTTGAACTCCTTCGTCCCGCTTCCTATTACTCCAATTCTTCCAGTTCCAAATCGTCCCCCAAAAGATCAGGTAACCTCCGAATCTTGTTTGGAAATTGAAAAGCCTTATAAATTAGCACTTTTCAGGGTATATTATTGAAGAAGGATGGTTGTAAAAAATGAATTTTATTAAGAAGTCGTTAAGGAATGTTTGTTTTTTGTTTGTTGAACTTAAGTTTCGCTTTTTAATAAGTGTTGTTTGTTACACAGTATATTGAAAATGTTCATGTTTCATTTTATACTATGAATAAAGATAGTATTTTTTTTTATTAGTGGATTATATTTTTAATAAATAGACTTAAAAGTGAAGGTTAAAATACAGAAAGTTTCTTAAAAATATATTCTTTTTGAACATCTCCCGCGAACTACCTCATTCTATTAATTTTTCCATTTAAGAAACAATGGAGGACTTCTATACAAAGACAATTCACCAGCCTAACAAAATTAAATTGACATTTATGACATAAGAAATCGACTCTATTTTTTTGTTTATTTGGTTTTTCTTACTTTTATCGTTTACATACCATGTATCTGTATCGGAAAAATTAATTTTTAATTTAGGATATCGGTTATTTTTTTGCAATTGATTCTATTTTTACAATTGATTACTTTTTAAAATTATTTTTTTTTGCAATTTATTCCATTATTACAATCGATTTCTTTTATAAATTGATTTTGTTTGCAATCGACGACACTAGTTACAACCAACTCATTTTACGATAATTGAATAATCTATTTTTACAATCGATTCTTTTTTTATCGATATATTTTTACTACTGATTATCGATACAATCGATTCCCTTTTTTCTACATTTATAGGTTGAAAAAATAGCCTCTTTTTTATGTCATTAGTGTCAATTTTAATTTGATAATTTCCTGCATTGTCTTTGTATAGAAGTCTTCTATTGACAAAAATGGCCTGTTATATTAAATGCTGCATCCAAGAAAAACCTGCTGCAAAGAAAATTTATTTCAGAAGGTAAGTTTAAATTTTCAATATATTTCATATCGATTTCTTTATCAGTCGATTCTTTTACAATCGATTCTTTTTTCCAATCGATTCTATATTTACTCTCGATTATATTTTTACAATCGATATTATTTCACAATTGATTCCTTTTTATAAGTTGAAAAAATAGCAAAACCATTTTTATTCCGTACTTTGACACTGCACCCAATTTACAACATGGTAATTAACTTAATAAGTTTGTTACCTTATATAAGAAATTTTTTTTGAGTAAAATAATAAGAACGAATAAGTCCATTTTTATTATTTATTCGCATCTCTGTATATCCGAATATGCCAAAAAGTACGCCATTTACAAACACAAAATTGACCTGCTTTTGGATTTTTTCACTCATACTGATTATTATTTCCTTTATTCCTTCTTACCCAAAACTTCCTTTCGACTAAACTGTTGTTTTTAAATAGAACTTTAAAATTTAAATCAGCAGTTAGTCTATAATTTACATCTAGAAAAGTGATAAAATAAAAATTATTTGTATCTAGGCATCACAGGCCAAGGGCAGCAGGGTAATAACCAAGGTAACTGCAATCCTTTGGGGATGGGCTTAAACGCTCTGGGTGCCCTCCCTATGAATCCGGCACTGGTAGCGGCTGCTCTGAATCAAGCTGGATGGGGTCTTATTGGTAACCTACAAAATCAACCTGAACCGAATTTCAACCAAGGGTTTAACAATGGACCCAACCCGCCCAATCGTAAGTTTACATTCTACATACTTTTTTTATTATATAATTTTTATCTCTTATATTCTATTAGACAATGAAACCACGCGACTTTACATAATAAAAATAATAATAAATCGTTTGTCACTTTAACGAAAAATTAATCAATTTCTAAATTTTCTTTTTATTTTACAGGACTTTGACGCTATTCATACTTTTTTTCTATACCCACATGAATATTATCTTTTCTACGCTCAAATTACAGAACGAAAAAGTGTTCCATTGCATTCTACTTCATTCATATCAATCTTAGTAAGAACACTACGGATATAAAATTCACCAATCAAAGCTCTTATTTGGTCACTCGGCTACTATTATTTTAGAAATTTTATGTATAACAATTCTGTCAAACTAATTATCAGTATATTTTATAGTTATTGAGATAAATATACGAAAAAATTAGTTACTCTGGTGTAGAATCGATAAATCGTAGTATTTATATTTTCATTTCGTCCACATTTACAAATAAATCTAAAATTTTAATCAAACTATATGAAACTAATTTAATTACGAGTATTAAAACTAAAATCGTAAGTGTAGTAATGGATTTGAGGCCAAGACGTTTGTTTACCACGTGAGAGGCCTAGGTTCAAATCTGGACTGGGGACTAATTAAATTAAATCTTTTATAAATTAGTAAAAGCCATAAATTATTTTAAAATTAGTTATTTTCTCTTAATATTGAGTACTAAAGTGAAAAGAAAGGTCCTTTATGTCTCACAGAGTCAATTTATTGGTGACATTCGAAATGAAAATGTTCGTTCAATGCATTGACTTACCATTTAGGTGTGCCTGTTGATGAAGTAATTACTTCGAAAACGATAAAGGACCTTTCTTTTCACCTTTGTGTTAAATAAGTAACAATTCTGTCAAACTGTCAGAATATTTTTTAGTTATGGAGATTAAAAATGAGTGATTCTTGTGAAGAATCGATAAATAATAGCATTCTACGAGTTATTTGTCTATATTTAAAAATAAATCGTAAATTTGTCAGAACTATCTAAAACAAAATTTAATTATAAGTATTACAAAAAAATTGCCGACTCCATAGGCCTTAATAGAATCTTATCCTCGATTACACACAAATAAGAAAAATAGTAAGACGATCTAAGTTCAACCTTTACCTACAATGTGGTTCATCTAGGATATATAAATAATTCATATTTTCCGAAATCGGTCGATATGAAATTATTAAGTAATTTTCTTTCCAAGCAAAAAAAATTGTTATAAATTGTCTCTTAGAATTGTTTCAGTTTAATACATTATTTAATAAAAAAATGATTTGAAAACAAAAGTTTGTTTTACAGAAAACAATCAAAATAATGGCGGCCGTGGCGGTAACAACCCTGGTTTTTTAAGCTGGATGAACCAAGGTGGTGGAAACCAAAATAATCCAGATGGAGGCCAATGGAACAGACCTCCTCAGCAGAATCAAGATGCGAAGGGATTTTTGAAATATGACTAATTCTAGAGCTTTAAGGAATGTAAGTATTAGAACAAAAATTATTCCAGTTGATTTGGAAAACGTCGAACACTTTTTCTTGTTAGTAAGTCAAATGTACGAAATTAGTTGAACATTTTTAATCTAAACAATCTAATAATAGTAAAAATTAATATTCAGGAAATAATCATTGACTAATTGTGTTTTTTTATTTCAGCACTCTTATATAGATCAACCGATAGAAAACATAATTTTATGTTGAAATTTTCATTAAATCGTTTCTATTTTTTAAGAAGAACCTGACAAAACCTCCGAAACTCGCAATATGTTGTTAGCGTATTTTTTATACAGATCAAGTCGGGTAAATGTTCGGAGTGAAAGTTTGTTTTTTGGGGTTTTGTCGACTCACTTTTGTTGTTAAGTGTGCGTTTTATTATAAACATTTAAGCATGGACATTGGATTGTGTGTATTTATATATAATTTTTTTTGAATGTAAGAAATGGAGAGTTAGGTTTTGTACAATAACATTTTCTTTTTGAAGAAATTGTAGACTCTATGCCTTATCAATATATGAATTAAACGAGATTGTTTTATTTAATTTATATCATCTTAGACCTTACTAAACGTGTTTATGATATCGACAATTTCATTTAATGGTTATTTTACATGTAAAAAGTATCCAGACTGTTTTGAAAGCAATGGTAACTGCTAATCATTTAAAAAATGTTTTGTTTATATTAACAGTTGGCAAATAAAAGTTTAAATATATTCTAAGGCACTTTAATGTTAATATAATCATGGAGAGCAGTCCTTCATGCAAATATGTTGATATCAAGTAAGTGCACCTCAAACTGTAACATGCCTAAGGGTACGGTCCAATGTTGTTTCTTCTCTATATAAATAGATTAAATATTCTGTTGACCTGTCAAACAATAGCTGCCAGCGCGAAGGGCACGTATATCTAAGGAGGTTGTGACATAGTCTTCCATCTTGGAAGCTTTTTTTATTCAAAATAGTAGTCGCCAAGCCTGCCAATTTATGAAAAATGCATAAGCGTTTTTTTTAATATTTCATTGGATTCGACATAACGTATTTAAATGTAATCCATTATTTCACATGATTTTGCATATTGTAGATATACAACCCTTTACCCTTACAGATATAAAACATGAGAAAAAGAAAACATGTGTCAAAGAAGGCTGCAAAAAGGACTAGTGAACAGTAGAGACTGATCAAGGCACCAGCCCTGAAATATGCCCTATGCCACAAGACATCGTACAAAAAACAATATATATATAAACAAATATGATTTCTTTAAAAAAAAATGAAAATTCTAAAATGTAGGTAGCTATTACATTGCTGTGTCGAGAATAAATTTTTTACAAGATTTTTTTTTTAAAACCTGGGATATCATTGTACAAAGTGTAAATGATATAGGTGAAAATAGCAATATTATGTATTGGATGTGAGATACGACCACAAAAACGTAGATTAAGGTTATGAACATCAGAGCGATACCTTATTTTGTTAAAAATATATGGAGGGGATTTATATAAAATAATAGAATGAAACAGACTTACCGAGTGTAAGACTCGTCTGGATTTCAGATATGGCTAGATATAGTCAGTTTGAATCCTTGAGTTTATGTGACTCGTGTCGAATTTCTGTATTCCATATGAAAATCTTAAACAAGATTTCTGTATCGGAAGGTCTCAGGATCGAATCCCACCTGTGGCAGGAATTTTTATTTAATTAAAAAAAAATTAAATATTAATTCTAATGCATAGGATTCCCCCACTCGACCATTCACTGTTGGGTTCTAATTAACAGTGCTATTTCTAAAGTGGCGCTGGGAAACAGTAACAAAGCCTACACAACACGAGGCTAATGGCCGTAGTAGTCGACGCCCATGACACCAAATAAAAAAAAAAAAAAAAGATTTCTGTACTATCTGAATTCTAGTTGTCTGCGCTACCTAAACAAGGCCCATACACTGTATCACAAAAGTTAAAATTACTCAGAAGCAGGGAATCTGTTAATATTTTTATTGAAGTTGGAAGAATATGTCGATGTGGGTTAGGTATTTTTAGATTCATATAAGCTGTTTGAATGCACTTGTTAACGTGAAGTTTAACACCTTCGCTGCCCATGACGTTCATTGAGGTCATGATAGTTATTTCCCCCATGCCCATGACATTTTGTAACGTCATTTGAAGATGTATGCTTCGATGAATGTAGACAAGCCGCTATTCAGTGAATTGTCTTTATAACCCCGTAAGCATGTGAACACGTTCTTAAATTAGTGCATTATGAATTTGGTTTTGATATTATGTTTGTGAATTTAACATAGTAAGGCTTTAACAGGTTCTAATTAAATGATGTACCTAATTGCTCGATATTTCAATTTGTTGCATGGACACGCAAAATAATTTTTGAATGTTCAGTGTGTTACGCTTTTGCTTGGAAAGTAAAAATGTATATAATCCACATTTATTCAAAACAACAATACAAACTGAAATATCAAGCAATTATACACTAATGGGACAGCCTCTATAGAACTACGACGAGAGCTTATATCTTCCATTTAAGGCCAAGTTCAATTTTGTTTGACATATCATCACGATTTTTTTTAGGTTAGAAAATTGCATTATCGATTTTTTTCATTCGAAGTAATAAAAGACGTCACTTTAAATTTCTATCTCTTCATGTCAACAAATTTCTAACACGATGAATTTATAAAACGTATGTCACTAATGAATATGTGGCGGCAACTGACGGCAACACTGTCAGCTACTCCATGGCTACTAGAGTACATACAGGTCCGGTATAAGCCATGGAAAATAATAATGTAATGTTTTGATCGAGTTAATTAAAATATCAAAATTAAATGTTTATTTTTAAGTAAACGACATTTTTAAATGTATACGTCTTCAATCAAAAATAATATAGGCAATACTCAAGTGTATTATACGAGTGTACTGGACAAGAGATAATTTTACCCTTTACTCCAGTTTTTTGTAATGAAACCAGCGGTAAAATAGATATTTGTGTACCAAGGCTGTGTTTTGGCCGAATTAGACATATGCGTTCAAGTCTCAGCCAGTTCTGGTTAAGTATAAGAGTAATAGGCAAGAAAGGGGTGTTCAATCAAACTTGACATCGAGATAGATGTCACATAAGCAGGTGTACTGAAGATGAACTTTGCAGGACCAAGCATCAGATAGGTATAACACTTGATATTCAGAAAACTATGTGAATACTACACTGAATAAGAACGAATGGAAGTGTCAGAAGGAGGCAAAAAATAGACGGAACAGAGCCTAATAGATAGATGTCATATTTTAGCCAGGAGAGAGTCGATGAGTGTTATAAATATAGTTATTTATGAATGTATTTTTAATGTATAATTTCAGTTTATTTTCATTTTTGGTATAAAACTATGGCTGACATAATAAAACTCTTAAAAGTATATATATTTTCAATCTTTATTACTATACATTATTTAGTATTCATTTATTCTCTCTGACCTAGGGAAAAGGTCAGAAAACCCTGGTCATAATTGTTTACAATGTTGCGTGTTCCTAATGATACAAAACATTACAGAGGAATGATACTTAGCCGATGAAATCTCATCGAGTTCACACATGACATATTGTGGTATGGAATATGGCTATCTCTGATGAATCTGCAGATTTTAATTTATTTTTGCGTACTGTTTTCTATCAACTGATACCCCAAATTTACACAAGCCACGTCTTCGCACCACAATGTGACATAGCATCAAATCTGCTTAATCTCGTACCATTTTTTTAAAGTATCGAGGATATTCTTGGTGTAGCTGATCATCATGTTTCGAGTCACTGAACCTAAAAAATAACAAATATCAATAAATAGTATTCGGAATTTATACCAAAAATATTTTTCTTTGGGAATTATATAGGATTTCTCGTTAATATACTGACAAACTTTTAAAGGTGGTAGGTGCATCAAAATAAACATTTTTTTGCTTAATAAAATAAAAATAATTTTATTGCCCAACACATTAATCCATTTACAGAACAAAATACATGAAATAAATGTTAAACATAATATTTCGACAGAAAATAATTTTAGCAACAGCAAGAAAAAAAAAAGAAAGAATCCTAAATACATTAGCTACAAATTAGTACAACTAATGGTCGAAATAAATATCCCAATCAGAACAAAATTAATTAAAATTTGAGCACATTAGCCTTATAGGTGAATTTCTTCCCAAGTTCGTTCAAATACTTGCTGTATAAAATGTTTTATGATATCTAATGGCTGTTTGGGGAACATTAAAATTTATTTAATTTATCAAAAATAGTACATCAATAGTGTTATGTAATATTTTATAAAAAAATGTAACACTGGAAACTACCCTTCTATTTTCGAAAGAAGCAGAGATTCTTCAATACCTCGAATGGGATACAGCTCATCTATTTTAAAAGAAAGGTACTTGAGAGATCGCCGCTGAACATTTTCCAATGATCTTTTATGAATATTGTAAATAATGTTCCAGATAAGAGATGCATATTCTAGCCTGGAACGAACTAAAGAAAAGTAAAGGATCTCCAAGCTTTAAGAGTTTGTAAAAGAACGAGTATTACGAATTAAGAACATTAAGCTTTTCAACGCAGAAGCAACTGTATTTTCAATATAATCCGAAAAAGTAACTTTTTGGTTGAATAATATACCTTAATCTTCAATTTGTGCACAAGTCCGATAAATGTAGGCTGTTAAATAAATAATCAAACTCCACGTTGTTAATACTTCTAGTATAGGAACATACTTCACATTTAGACACATTCATAAACAGCTTGTTTTCATTACACCAATTTTCAACGATTCCCAAGTTGGGTCTGTAAAAAGTAAGTCTTGAATTGATGAGATTGAGGTAAATATTTTTAAGTCAGCAGCGAACAGCAGGTTAAATTTATTGCCAAGTCACTTATAAATATACTAAATAATAGTGGCCCCAGATTGGAGCTCTGCGGAACTCCAGATGTTGCTGTGAGGGGTGAAGATGAAAATCCGTTGTAAAAGACATAATTAAAACGATGATTTAGGTAAGATGAAAATAATCTCAACAGCGACTGATCAAACCCTAAGCATTCCAACTTCCTTACAAGAATATTATGATTTTCAATTATTACAAAATACATTATGGGCAGGTTGTACAAAAAATATTCTAAACATATTTTAACTAACAAGAGTTTTATTTTTAACTATTCAAAAACAAATGTCATTTTTAAAACTATGTTTAACAATAACCGATGAGTATACAACAAGGTTCATAGTTTAAACTAAGTCTACATTTTAACTGCCTATTGTACAATCCGCCATATGTACAATTCAAAATTAATTGTATTTCTTTAAAATGCACTTGATTCTGTTGATCAAAATCATTCGATAAAAAAATTAAAAAGTATTGGTATAAAGGTGATTTTTATATCTATGCTATATGGGGGTATGCTATTGGGGTAGCATGTAGATTATCTAAGTATCAGGTCAGAGAGATTAAAATTAAATAACATATGTAGTGGGATTCTCATCTTTTGAGTACG